CACCGGCCTTCTGGTTAGTAGTCAAGTGCCTTAGGCACTATGCTACCAGAGCTCCAATATATACAGTACACACACACACACACACACACACAGAGGAGCTCTGGTGGCATACTGCCTAAGCATTTTACTGCTAACCAGAAGGCTGGTGGTTCAAACCCACCAGCCACTCCTTGGAAAGAAGGTTGGACAATCTATTTCCATAGTGGTACTGCCTCAGAAACCCAAGGAGGGGTGGCTTTGGGTCGGACCCAATTGGATGGCAGTGAGCTTAGTTTGGTTTTGGAAAGCCATCCACTGAATGGTATCTCTGTTATAGCATCACTAGATAATGAAATTGGAATTTGCAAGAGTAGAGTGCTCTTCTAACAGACCCCTAAAATGTGGAAATGGTTTTGGAATTGAGTAATGGGTAGGGACTGGAGCTCTGGTAGTGTAGTGCCTAAGACATTTGACTGCTAACCAGTAGGCTGGCTGTTCAAACATACCTGCCACTCCTTGGAAGGAAGATTGGGCAATCTATTTTTGTAGTGATACCACCTTGGAAACCAAAGGAGGGGTCACTATGCTGTAAATACCGTATACAATTGGAACCATGTAAGTTAAAATTATTTATTACATGTCTTTATTACAAGAACAAAAGTGAAATTTGACTCTGCCACTATGATGTTTCACAAGCTTTCTTAAAAACCCATATGAGATGAAATGGACATTTTATGAATAACTTCTCTAACCTACCTATATTTTCATATTAATTTCGGTCATGTTGGTACTTTGGTCATGTTGGCAGAAGGGAGAAGTACCTGAAAAGGATCTCATGCTTGATAAAGTATAGGGTCAAGACCCTCAATGAGATGGATTGACACAGTGGACTTAAGCATGGCAACAATTATGAGGACGGTGCAGGACCAGGCCCTGTTTTGTTCTGTTGTAAGTCAGAACTGACAACAGCAATAAGTCTTTCAATATATCTAAACCTTTCTAAAATGTCAGAATTTACTTTGCCTCTACCTTAATTGTTGGATGCCATCAAGTCAATTTTGACTCATAATGACCCCATGTGACCAATAAGGTCATTTAGACTATAATCTTCAAGGCAGATTTTTTTGCCAGATCTTTCTCCCATAAAGCCACTGAGTGGGTTTGAACCATATATATACCTATATCTTAATCACAGTTAGTGCAAAGTAAATTATAAACCATATTTAGGGCTTTAGTATAGTATACATGGTGTGTATGGTGTTAGTTGTCATCAAGTTGACTTTAACTCATGGCAGCCTTATGTATAACAGAACAAAATGTTGCCTCATCTAGCACCATCTTCATGATCATTGGTAGTTTTGAATCCGTTGTTGTCACCATTGTGTCAGTCTATCTCACTAAGGAAATCTCTTCTGTTTACTGACTCTCTTCTTTACTAAACCAAAAAATCCAAACTCACTGCCGTCAAGTCGATCTGACTCGTGGAGACCCCAAAGCTGTATCACTATGTAAGTAGATTGTCCAATCTTCCTTGTAAGGAGTGGCCAGTCTTCTGGTTAGCAGTCAAATGCCTTAGGCACTATGCCACGAGAGCTCCTCTTTACTAAACGTATTGCCCTTTTATAGTGCTTAGTCTTTCCTAATTATGTGTCCAGAGTTAGTGAGTCAGAGTCTCTCCACCCTTGCTTCCATGTAACATTCTGGTTGTATTTCTTTGAAGACTGATTTGTTTGTTCTTTTGGCAGTTGATGGTACAGTATATTCAGTATTCTTCACAAGCACCACAGTTCACAGTAATCAATGTGTGACTATTTAATTAATTCAAGTAATGTATATACATGTATTACAGGTAAAGAAAATGCAGAGCGTGTTATAAGTAATATGCATGAATTTGAGAAATTAACCTTACTTTTAGTGTCAAGATAACAAAATTATTGGATGTCATAGAAATTAAAATATCCTGAAAATATCTTTATCCTTTAGTTTTGACAGATAGACCTCCACCCATAATTCTACAAGGTCCAGCTAACCAAACACTAGCAGTAGATGGTACAGCATTACTGAAATGTAAAGCTACTGGTGAGCCTCTTCCTGTAATTAGCTGGTTAAAGGAAGGATTTACTTTTCTGGGTAGAGACCCAAGAGCAACAATACAAGAGCAAGGAACACTGCAGATTAAGAATTTACGGGTAAGTAACATACGAATTATAGTTGGGTTTTTATCTCAAACTGAGTACTGCCCTATGGAAAAACTGTACAGTAAACATAAAATCTGATACTAGATTAATTATCTTATGCTTTATTACAGGCCATGTTATTTCTTATTTCATAAATGGCAAATTAAAATGAAAGGGAAGGTGATTATTCTTATGTTACTTATAAATTTATGACAGACCTATATACTTTTTTCTCCTTCATCCCGATCCATTTGTGTGCAGTCAAAGAAACTAGAAAATGCAAACATTAGTCAGATATTTTTTAAAGTAATTTGAAAATGGCAAGTGTTTCTGATTTACTCTAATGAACAAAGGAAGTTTGGGACAAAAAGGTATATGTAGAGTAATATGGATAAATTAGGTTGGCCAAAGAGTTGTTTGGGGAAAATTAAAAAGAAAAGAGATGAAACTGAGTATACAAGAATCAGATTTTGTTAGTTGATTGTTGTTGTGTTGTTGTTGTTATGTGCCGTTGAGTCAAACCTGACTCATAGCGACCCCTCCTTGGGTTTGCGAGGCAGTATCATTATGGAAGTAGGATTGCCCAACCTTCCTTCCGAGGAGTGGCTGGTGGGTTTGAACCACCAGCCGTCTGGTTAGCAGGCAAGTGTCTTAGCCACTATGCTGTTAGTTGATAGAAAACGTTAAATTTTGTGCTAAAGTTGTAGAGAAAGTCATTGCTGGCCTTTTAAGAGAGGATTACATGATGGAGAATGACCTTTCATTGCAACATTACAAAAGTTGGATCTACTTCAGGAGTAACTCAAAATAAAATGTCTGCTTTTTGAGTATTGTATTAATTATTTATTAATGCATTACAATTTCAGCAAATACTTAGAGGCACAAAATAGCATACATTTATCTTACATTTTCAGAGGGGCAGGTGTCTAGAGATAACCTGGTTGGATCCTCTGCTTCAAGTTCTGCCAGGAATATAGTTAGGTGTCAGTCAGGGTGTTGTCTCATCTGAGGAATGACTTGAGAAAAGTCTTCCAAATAATGCTCTTTGTGGCTATGAGAGTGATAACCAAAGTTTCTTGCTGGCTGCTTCAGGATATACCTTTTTTTTTAGTTCCTTGCAATGTGGAGATTCCCAGAATTGCTTCTTCTAAGTCAATCAGGAGTGTCTCCTTGCAAGATAAGTGTTGTAATCCTATATAAAAAAATTAACCAAAATGACATCCTATCTCTCTTTTGCCATATTCTAGTGATCTGAAGTGAAGTGAGTCACAGGTCTTGTCCATAGTGAAGATGAGGGATTGCAAAAGATGAGAATACCAGGAGAGGGTTGTCAAGGTGACCATTGTCTGCCACAACTCTATTCAGATCGTTTGACCAAATATAGTGAGCCCCCACCACCATGTACCAAGCTCTGCATTAAAGCTGGATGGTGTTTTGTAGTAAGAACAAGATTGCAATGAGAACAAGAACTAAAATAATTGATTTGATAGAAAATGAAGACAGATGGATGGAAAATTATTCAGTGAGAGAACAATTAATAGAATATGATGTCCAGGTCAACATTGTGAACTCTAAGATGAATAAAAAGAGAACCACAAAAAACAATGTAGTGGAATTTTTCCATTCACAAACCAGGAGAAGAAAATAAAATATTTTTGTTATACATATTTTCAGATTATCATAATTTGGAATATTCTTCTCAGGGTATAAATGTGTTTCCATGTTTTTTTCTGGTTGTTTTATCAGTGTATCATATGGATATTATATGCCAAAAGGAAAATTTCCCTATTTTTTGGCTTATATAATTGCATATGTGTACACACACACATACAAATTTAATTTTGAGACACAGACATTAATTATTGCTTGAAGTTGAAAACAGTGCTGTCAAGAACGAATAAAAGAAAAAGAATTTAACACAGATTTTTAGCCTGTCTTATCATTGATTGTAAATTAATTGTTAATCTTCTTCTAACAAAATGGAAGTTATTAAAAAATTAATGCCAAGTCTCCTGGTGTAAACACTTTAACCTCTCTCTCTGGGCTAGAGGCAAACTTGGGCCATGGAGGTTAATGCATTTTTACTGTACCACAGAATTAAAGAGTGTGCTTGAATAGCCAAGCTCCCCAGTAGTGTTTGAAAAAAGCAATTAAAGATGGGTGCTGGATGATCTCAAACCAACTTTGAGCCCACTAACAGCTTCTGAGTAGTGTCTCTGAGATGCAAGCTCCTAGGGGCTTGTGTGCAGCCAACTACACAAAGAGAAAAGTCGGTGATGGAGTGTGCCAGCACATTAATCTCTTTTTAAAGCACTTGGTTAAAGATAAAAGGACAAGGATGGAACAGATGTGAAACATTCATGACCACATAAGACATTATTTAAAGTTTAAGAAATAAAAATGAATGTGGTGATGATGCTGGTGATACCAGAATGAGCTTTAACAATGATATTTAGGCCTTTGATAGTACTTTCGATAAACACCCAATGAAGACATTGTTCTTTTTTTCTGTAAGACGGCTGTATTTTAAGGGAGATAAAAATGTGCTTTACAGTATTTCACTCATGTAGTCAAGAGAGGATTTCTATAGGTCATATTCCTTTGTGTTTCACTCTTTCTTTTTCAGTACTTAATACGAAAAAAAAAAAAATATGATGAATGCCGTGTCTTCATAGTCCAGCTAATTGGTAACTGAATCTGTATCTTGTGAGAAGTAAAATATTCCAAAACTCATTAAAATATACCTACCACAGCTAATGTCAGACTTATATCTCCACACAATGACAAGGAGATGCAGTTAAGAAACATTACCTACATATGCTTCTTTTAACATTTGCACGTAATAACAAGTGCTACGTTTTTGTCCAACAGCTATAATAAAATGCAAATTCTTTTCCCCTTCCACAGACCATATTCAAATGAATATCCCATTAAAATCCAACCTCAGCTCATTATTTAGTTTGTGAGTGATGCATCTTAAATGCAAAGATTTCTAATGACTATAATGTGCATACAGCCACATGTGAAAGAATGGCTCTTTTCTACAATGGCTATCCCCATCATTCCTCTGTATAATAGAAGAAGATTGTACAGAGATAATATGGCAAAGAATGACATGCCAGAGCAATTTGAAAGTTAAGTTAAAATATGTAATGGCATTTAAAATAAATTAAAATGGTGCCGCAACAGTAACATCCACACACTAATGATTTACGTGAGAATCAATTTCAGAAGCTGAAGTCTGCTAGGTTACATTTTGAACCCAGCAGATATAGTACACCATGTACTCCCATATTTCATCAAGAATTAGACTCATATTCATCACAGAATTTAAATCCTACATCTTGTGACTTGCAATTTTCTATGTGGTCATCAGTGCTTCTTCCTCATCTCACTATTTCTTCACTCCCCAGCTAATGCAAGTGTATGTTGTTTACACTGTAAGCACATAGGGAACAACCCCAGTCAGGACTTTTGAATCACATCTTTTATTGATCTTGGGCTTTTGTCAATGTATGCTCACTGAATCTTCCATCTTTTTCATTTGTGAATGAGAAATCTTGTTTATATTAACAACTATTTCTTTCTAGAAGCCTTTTTCCATTTTTCATTTAATAGCAAATTTATGTTTAAGTGATCAGTGAAATGGTAATTTTTAAGTATGTCTGAAAAAAGAGTTACATATTAGATTATTTCTCTGGTCCTTCTCAGCTATGAGTTGGAGTGATTCCATAGAAAAGGTTTGTTTGGCTTTTAATGACACAATTTTGTTCATTCACTCTCATACTGCTACATTTTAAATTCAGTGAGTACTGATCTCTTTAAAGGGAAATGTTCACTTTTCTTTTTTTTAAATTTTATCTTTTTTTTTTTTCACTTTTCTCCATGTCTTTTGAAAGAAATGAAGTTTGTCCATGTATTATCTCATTGTTTATTTCTTCCTGGCTGCTTTTATCCACGGAAATATAGTATATTTGAGACAGAAAGCATAGCTCTACGTTTGCTGTTTCTTGTTTGTCTATGGTACATGAAAAAAATCTGTCCTAAATTGTCCATATCTAGCTCTGATACAGTGAAGCCCCGCCATAAAATGGAGCTAAGACATTATTATTATCATCCATGGAGGCAAAAGAGAAAGAGAGAAAGAGAGAGAGAGAGAGAGAGAGAGAAAATTGGCATTCCCCAAATATGTTGTTGTAGAAATATAAATTTAAAAATATAACTTTGAATATCTGTTATAAATAAAATAGCATTATATTATATGAGTTTATTTTAATATTTTCTGCATATATATATATATATATATATATATATATATATATGATTGACTCTTATGTATAGTTTGTATAGCCAAGAAATACATTCTTAGTACTTTTAAGAAATTAAAAGTTCCAGGTTAAAATCAATTGTGCCATGAAATAATTAAAACATCTTAATACTTTCCCTTCTATGCACTATATATAGACTTCTGATACTGGCACGTATACCTGTGTGGCTACAAGTTCAAGTGGTGAGACCTCCTGGAGTGCTGTGTTGGATGTGACAGGTGAGTTCTTTGTGAATTATTTGAACAGCAGAAATCCTGAGTTCATTAGCTCATTATCAAATATCAAGTTAAAGGAGATCAAGATTTTAAACTCACTGAAGGTAAAAACTAAAGTAAAAACCAAAACGTATGCCACTTGAATTCTTGTACCAATTGGCAATATAGCATTGGATATGTACAATATAATAAATGTGTCCTTGAGAACCTTGTTATTTTATTTTCTGTCTAAATTGCAAGCAATTCTAGTTATTATGTGTCAAAGTCACCATGTATTAACATGTGTTAATAAATCTCAAGTATAAATTTTCACTTCTATATTTCTGATTCAAAATGAAGATGAAGTGCTCTCTGTCTATATCAGCTTCTTTAGTAGACTGTTTATCCTTTTTTGTAGGCAGCATTTTCAGCTCATGCCATCAGAAATGAAGGTATTTGTCTTTACTGTTTGTCCTCTATAGAATCTGGAGCAACAATCAGTAAAAACTATGATTTGAAGGACTTGCCAGGACCACCATCCAAACCACAGGTCACGGATGTTACTAAGAACAGCGTCACCTTGTCTTGGCAACCAGGTACCCCTGGATCCCTTCCAGCAAGTGCATATATCATTGAGGCATTCAGGTATGGGACAATTCCTTTGTCTCCACTGAGTTTTTGCTTTAACTCTGAAATTCAAAAACCTCACATGAACTCCCTAGCTGTTTTATTTCATAAACTCGCTCAATTAATTTGCTTTAAGAATTAATCTTTTATATCTGACTTCATTCAAGAACAGATTCTGCTGTTTCTTCATTTATATCTTAATTATCCATGCCTAGAGCGGTAGGGTTCTATTTTATGACATAATCGCTTAGTAGCTCCTTTCTTTACTCTGACCATTGCAGGGATTTAGGAAGAGAATTTTGACATTAGAGCTAGGCAGAAAATAATTTAATTAGGCACAGGCAGTTTTTAAGTTATGCATGGGACCCTAGAAGTTTTGTTCTTAATAATTAGAGCAGAACTTAAAATAATCCCAGTGTTTCTTTTTTGTGCTATATATTTGAATATATTTGTTGGGTATGTGTGTAAGAAAATGAAATGCTGTAATTAAGAAATTGATTCCATGTGCTTCTGGTTGTTATAAGGAAAAGATGTTCCTATGTGTAATTTGAAGTGTTGTCAATATCATTATAATGTAGTCTTCTACAAATTGGATAAAATATGAACGTATAAAATGAGAAAATGTAGCTTTCAATTCTATTTCAATGTATATCCATCTGACATTTTAAAGATGAAATGATAACCATTGTCCTTCTTTTCAAATGGTAGAACAATGATCACTTTCATTTTAGGTTTCCTTAATCTATACTTATATATAGTTTTCAGATTTCAAAATAGTATTTTCCTATCATTTTCATGCTTTGATGCTGAAGGACTCCTGAAAAATAAACAGACAGCCATGGAAATCACATTTTCTCCTCATTTTGAGCAAAAGTAACATCTGACCTTAGACAAAGTGCTCGAAAGTGGCGCTCCATCTGTGACTGGCTGGAAAGTGTTCCACACGTACAGATATAGTGGCATTTTACCATTTTGAGATGAGAACTCACAATACTGTGTAATGTACAATTTTATTAAAAATGTGACTAAGGGAAAATATTCATTACATGCTTCCTTTCTTCTTTTACAGATATGTAGTTTTAGAAGGCTCTATTATAATATTGCATGTGGAATTGATGCAAAAGAAAACACACCTTGTAACAGGAAAATGTATTGGCATAATTTACTCTGTAGTCCATTTATTCTTTCTACAGGTTAATTCTTTTCAAGGTATATATATATATATTCATTTCTGAGGACCATATTTATTGTATAAACTTGATGTTGTGATCTTGGCCTCTGTTCCTTTTACAGGTATTCATTTAGTGGGCTGCTGTGCATTAGCAAAGGGCTGTCACATCTCCTGGGCTGAGTTTAATTTTTTTGTGCATGGCACTTTTGTTAGGTGGGCTCGGCTTTGTTGTTGAATAAACTGAAATCATACAAATGTTTCATTTATTGGGCTGAGCACTTCAAGTTTTATGTGTGTGTGTGTTTAATTTTCAGCCATTAACCTTTGTCATAGATTCCCCTACTCCATTTTGAATATCTTTAGGGCTATTCTTTAAATAAAATTTCTGTTCCTATTTCAGCCAATCAGTGAGCAATAGCTGGCAGACAGTGGCAAACCATGTAAAGACCACCCTCTACACTGTCAGAGGACTACGGCCCAATACAATCTACCTGTTCATGGTCAGAGCTATTAACCCCCAAGGTCTCAGTGACCCCAGCCCCATGTCAGATCCTGTGCGCACACAAGGTAATTTCAGTAGCTGTAAATATAACTAATTGTAGAACTAGAAATTAAATAGATCTTTAGGACTAAGGGGATTGCCTGAGGAAAGGTAAAAATGTCTGAGTTGTTTTTTGTAATCATTCATTAACTTGGTCTAGTAAAGAGAGGAA